CAAAAATAGCGTTACTTCTTTTAATTTCACTTATTAATTCATTTATTTGCTATTCGAATGGTCGTTTCTTCGACGACCTCGTCACCCTTATTTTAGGTTCAAGTGGTACCAGTACCTCTTCAATTATTTCATTGGAATTTTCATCGTTCTCTAAAAGATACAAACACAATTATTTAAAAATATACACTTATTTTATTTAAATACACACAATTATGATGTAAATTATATGAAAACATTAACTTATTAGAATAAATGATGATTACGTGTTTAGTAACAACCACAAGAAAAATCACCAGAACTTAAATGTATAATTACACAAAAATATGTGTAAAATGGTGATTGTGAACATGCTTAAATATTTTACAATGTCTATCCAGACAAATGTATTTTGACAACTTTTAAATTTAACTGGTATTTCATAGTTCTTGCAGTTATAGATGCCAAATGGCAATAAATGTACAATTTTAATAATAAATTTCAGAATGTTGTGTTACATTTAAAAGTGACCAAGTATTATGAGAAGTTACGTTATAATAATTAATATTTTTGATGGTTAAGTAATAGACCTTAATATAATAGAATACATCTAATAATAGTTTACCTATATCTAATTCAGGTGATCGTAAACATTGGACTATCACATGTATCATTAATGGAAGAGAGTTGCAGCAACTCTCTTCCATTAATGATACATTGTGGGCTGGCTGATGTCTTATACTTGGAAATATTGCCAGGTAGATGGGCTATCTCCCGAATGTTCAATCTTCGTTACTTCTCTAGTTAAAATAAAAAATGACAATTTCATTGTTTCAAGTAGGAAGGATTAATTTTATCTTTTACAATTTAACATTAGTTATTAATTTAATGTTTACATCATTTACGATTATTGTACGAGTAACAAAAAATATTATTGCCGTCATACAGTATGAACGTTCGAAATATAATTGTTAAAAAATTCTTTATTTAAATATTAAACGATAATTAATTTAACGGTTACATATTATCACAATTTTAACTTACTTAATTTGTATTTGGCAGTCAAGTTTTTAATTTTCGTCCTTATTTCGGGCCATATTCTCGCTCTGCATGTTGGTCTCCGAAGACGAGTTTCTGCCGCTATTGCTTCATATATACAGTAGAGCATCGATTATCCGACTCAATTGGGGACTGGAGTTGGTCAGATAATTGAAAAGTTGGATAACCGAAAAGTATGAAAAAATCCATTATCCAATATTATATCCCATGTAATTAGTATATTAGTATATCGCTATTAATCTACTTCGCGTTGAATTTTCCTCCATGTGACGCCTATCAAATTTTTTTTTTAAAATAATAATCGTCGCTATTGCATCCTTAAAAATTATTTCTTTATTTTGCACAAAATAAATACAGTACTGTACTGTACATTGAAAAATATACATCCAGCTAGATTCACCCTACTATAAACCCTTCACCTCCTGTAAGTTTTATGAGAATGTCCCGGAAAATCTAACACCAGCTGTTCCCAAGGTCATCCAGCTGTAAACACAATGACTCATCAGTGTCAAATTTCGCAGAAAGGCGAGACAATGGAAAATAAAGTTTGAAGCTTTTTCTTCAAAAATAACGCATTTCTTTCGTTCTTTTCAGTTTTAAGTATTTTTTATGTTTAATTATAATGTAATTAAAAATTGATTGGAGAGAAAGCGGTTAAGCTCGGTTTACAAAACGAATATGATTAATCTTAACATAACCACTCATAATTAAAAAATTAAGCCTCGTTTAAATACTGGCCTCCCTTTCATGGTTGAACCAGCGTAGCCAGCTAAAACAAGCAAAAATTTAACAAAAATAATATTAAAGTAGCCAAATATTGTAGTGCCATATCACTAGCGGACATTTAAATTTGCAGACTAGAACGCGGTCGGTTAACCGAAGTGACGGTTAATCGATGCTCTACTGTACTTTTTTTTTTAGAAAAAACAGTGTTCAATTGTTTCAGTTCATTCAAAACGAAAGAGGTAGATTTTCTTCTACCTAGCTTTTCAACGGCTAGTTTTAAGGGTTCTAGCGATGCCACGATGTCACGAATTACATCGACTTCTTGTTTTTCAAGGCCAAGAACACTATTTTTATCTTCGTTGAAATCAATTAGAGCTTGCAACACAGATTTTCTTATTTTGATATACCGTTCTAGCATAGCAAAGACTGTTCCATCTGGTTTTTGAATCTAACATTAAATGTATGGGTTTTCCATGATCCTGTTTAACGTATTCTTGTAACACATTATTCTTCGCAGGTGACTTAGGAAAGGTTTTGACTATCTTTCTGACTTTATTGATGACTTAAAAGACGTCGATTTCATACAATTCATATGCTATATCTATTTCAAATAGATTTTCATTAGTGTGTTTATATTCTGAAATAAAATATTCAACTTCAATATTTTGACTGAAATCTTCTTCATTTTAATCAATGTTACACTCATATCTTTGGTGATCTACATCTGGCTGGTTTTCATCAATAAAGGGGATTGTAAGGTGGGTAGATGATTTATGATACAAAGCATCACACACTGCTAAGTGGATTCCATGTGCATAACACAATTGGTGCTCACATTCAATTAATCTTCCCATTTTTTCATAACAGTTGCACCATCAGTTACACAAGCCACCACATGTTTTTCCAAAGAAATGAAATTCAGCTAACTTTTCTTTGACCACATTAACAGAATTTCAGCAGATAGAGAACCAGAAATTTTTACCATTCCTAAATTCCAAAATTTTCCTACCTCTATGTGTACATTAATATTCATACATCGGCGATTGTTTAGAGAGGAGTACTCGTCTAATGATATACTAAACCATGCTCCTGAAGTTATTTTCTTTGCAATTTTAGAAATGAAACTTTCTTTTATCTGTACTGTGAGTACAGATAAAAGAAAGTTGGATTTGATCATGACATTAGTTGGATTTGTTGCCAAAGTACTTACACTTACAGTTACAAACGATGGGATATAAATGGGAATATAAGCTTTAACAAATTCCTTAACTTATAAATGCGAATTCGAAACTAAAGTGCGATGAGTGATATTTATTTTCAGCGAGTGCTCCGCTGTTCAATGACGTGCAAACACACTACATAGATATTACTTGAACTAACAAGTAGAGACTTGTAAGATATAGGTAATAATATGCAGCATGAAACCTCAAAAAGGTTCTCTCTTAGGCGAGTCTTCAAAATGCAACTTTTTGTGTAATAAATGGTAGAAAGAAAACCTGACATGATAAATTATTATTGAAATGAGAGAAAAAATTTTCCGGGATTTTTCTCGTAGGGAATAAACGGCGGGAATCTCGGGAAAGAAACCCTAGTCAGTACAGTAAGAGGAGAGGCATTTTCAGCAAAAAGAAATTGTAAAACATGAAATGAAATGTGGAACAAACTGGTTATCATGTATGAGAAAAAGTCATATCTGTCAAAAGAAATTGCACTAAAGGAATATCACTTGTTTAAATATGAAGACAGAGAATCTATAACATTTATGTTTTCTAGGTTAGAAGGAATAAGAGAAGAACTGAGAATCTTTGACAAAACTGAAAATGATGATTCAGTGGTATGCAAAATAATCACAGTCTTTCCCCAGAATATAAACACTTTGTGACAGCGTGGGAATCAATGGACGAAAACAGGAGAAATCTTGAGACTCCGATGGCAAGATTAAAACTGGAAGAGTCCAGGGGCTGTATTCTAGTCACTTATCTCTCGTCTTTTCTTTCAATGACGAATGACGTCAGAATGTCTCTCAGAAATAGTGGCGATTCTAATTAATTTTAACGATCTCGTTATCCTTGATGACGTCACGATACTACTAGGTAGATTATACATGTTCAAGTTATCTGCGCGCGCAACACGGTATAGAATTTTAACTTATGACATTGTAAAACTTTCGAAAATGCAGAGTACGTAATCATAGATCACATCGCAAGGAAAGCAAATGATTTTGACAAAGTTATGTTTTTGTTTTATAACGTTTTTACAGATTGTTATGTCAATTTGTCTCTTAAGAGATAAAAATTTTAATAACCTAAGTTAAAAAACCGTACGTACTTAGATATTTTTCGAAATATTATCATCTAATTTCTCTGTAAGTATCTAAGATTAACATCATATTCAATAGTTCAGTAATTGATGTAGTGTAATGTTACGTTGAACACCTTCAAGAAGTCAAGTCGAGCCACTGGGACTAAGTAAACTTTATTAGGAGTAACAAAGAGACACTTAACTAACGTGTACTCTAGTACGAGGTCTAACAAACAATACTCGTAGACAAAGGAGAGCTACCACGTGCCGTAGACCAGGCTCCGCGCCATCTATCGGCGGTCAGGCCATGTGTCTAACGGACGCTCGCATGTGACTAGTAGGCTAATTAAAAACAATGGCGTTTCGAAGTACACACTGGAAAAAAATCAGAAGCATTTTCTCTCTCGAAATATTCTTTCCCGAGATAGAGAATGTTCTCTAACACCATTGTACAGCGCGAGTAGCATTCAGTCGTCCATGGCCCTTAGTCTCGAGTCTTTCGTGTAACAACTCCCAACGTGTTAAAGATGTCACGTGGTACCATCTCACACTCTGACGTCAAATTGGTAGTCTCGAGTTCTAACTCACGTGCTTTCCCATCTTACCATACGAGTTGCTACTCACGTTGAGTCGAGCATGTGAGATCGCTACACGAAAGTGAAAATGGCTGACGGATACGCAATTCTTATCGTATCGAAGTGTTAGAAAGAGCCGAAAGACGTTGTTTGAGAAGACAACGAATTTTTCGACCAGGATATATGCTATTTCTTTTCGTGTCAAGTCAATACTAATAAAAAAATTTTAATTCATAATTGATAAAATTATACAGCAAATTTTTCCAAAAATAAAAAGAAGTATCTAATTAATCTAAGAAGAGTATTAAATTGATAGTAAATTATACGTATACATTATTAAAAGCGTAGACACTATATTAAGATTATTTATTAAATTTACATTTAATTTAACTCCAAATTTAAATTTTGGAGTTGATGGAAATGCCATTTCCATCAACTCCAGCAGATTGGAAAAAAATTTCTGATGATTTTGAAAGAAGATGGCAACTACCTCACTGCTGTGGTAGTATTGATGGAAAACATGTGGTTCGAGAGTGTCCAAAGAATACTGGTAGTCTTAATTATAACTATAAGGGAACTTTTAGTACAGTCTTACTAGCCGTATCTGATGCACATTATCGTTTCCTGATGATTGATTATGGGCATTTTGGTAGCGAATCAGATGGTGGAATTTTAAGAAAAAGCGTATTTGGTCAGCATCTGATCAATGGAAAGTTAACCTTTCCAAAAGCAGATGCTTTGCCAAATTCAAATACACTGTTCCCTTATTTTATAATTGGGGATGAAGCCTTTCCTTTAAGGCATAATTTGTTGCGTCCCTATCCCAGACATTCTGAGTTTAGTCATTCAGAAAAAATATACAATTACAGATTAAGCAGAGGCCGGCGTGTTGTGGAGAATGCTTTTGGTATTCTAGCAGCACGATTTCGTATTTTAAGGAGACCATTAAATTATGATGATGAATCAGTCAAATGCATGGTGCTTGCTAGTTGCGTTCTCCACAATATGCTTATTCAGAAATCTGCAGCATATTGCCCAAATGGATATGCTGATTATGAAGATTCTGATTATAATCAGAATGAAGGTATATGGAGATCCGAAAATATAACTCTTGAAAATCTTAAAAAAGTGGGCAGCAATATGTACAATAAAGAGGCAAAAAGTCTCAGGAACATTTATAAAGATTATTTATGTAATGAGGGAGCTGTACCTTGGCAAGAAAAATTAATTCAATCCCAACCTAAAGTATAGTATACTTCATATAGGTTGTATTAGCTCAGAATAAATATTACTCCTCTGATCTAATACATTTTTATTAAGTAAATATAATGTTTTAAATCATGTTCTTTTGTGAAAAAATAAAACTAATAAATCCTAGATACTTTTGTTTGTCTTAATCATATATATAGTTTTTAACTTCTTAATGTAGACAACAATTTCTATTATTACAGTCTGTTACAAAAGTATAAGAACACCACTTAAAAGTCTCTTAAAAATTAATCTATCATAATAATAATTAAAATTATCATGATTAGGGTGAGATGTCATCATTTTTAACTGTTACGATGGCTTTTTTGAATGTTTTATTGAATGTTATATAAACATTTTCAACAATGGCACTGAAAATGTTTTCCAACAAGATAAAAATTATGGGCAAAAAAAGGAAGTCAGGATGGCCTAAATGTTTAACTTCCAGGAATGAGAGAGAAGTTTTGAAGTTTATAACTAATAAAAACGTCAACAAGGCTAGCTGCTGCTGAATTACCATTAGATATATCTCATGTGACTGTTTGGAGAACTTTAAAAAACAATGACAATTTAAAATATTTAAAAATGAAGTTGAAAACCACCTTTAACTGCCAAACACAAATCAATGCATTTAAACTGGGCTAAAGTCAAGATGGAATGAACTGATGAATGGCAAGAAATAATGTTTAGTGATGAGAAGAAGTTTAATTTAGATGATCCTGATGGGTTTTTGTATTATTGGCATGATTTAATAAGAGAAAGCAGAGTTAAAGTAAGCTGGCAAGAAAGGGCTGGGTCTGTAATGATTTGGGGTGGCTTTGGAGGTAAATGGGATGGATGATTTAGTATTTGTTGACAAAATATGATCACATTTGGTGCATTAATTGGAGTCATAAATGGCAGTTTCAATGAGATAATGCACCTGTTTATGCCTCAATGTCGACAAAAAATTGGTTAAAAAAAATATTGATGTAATTGACTGGCCTTCATTTAGTCCAGATTTAAATCCCATTGAAAATTTATGGGGGATTTTATCAGCTATTGTTTATCAAAATGGGAGACAATATGAATCTGTAAATCAATTAAAAATTGCAATAATGGATACATGGGATGAAATTAAGAATGAACAATTAAAAAAATATCGCCATGTCTAACAGAATTTTTAAAGTAATTGT